TATATATAGGTCCAAGAAAAAGTGTACATAAAAAGTAATGAATAATTTTTTTGTAATGGATTTTTTTTTATCAGAGGGAACCAATATTTCGCCTAAAAATGTTGGTTCCCTCTAATAAAAAAAAGTGTTCATATATATAACATATATATAGGTCCAAGACAAAGTGTACATAAAACAAACTTATGAGAGAAACAAGACAAGAAGAAGAAGAACCTCTTTGATGTCACGAAACCAAGATTTGCGTTTGGAGGAATCAATACCAAGTGAAGTACGAGAAGGGTTTTGCTTGAAGGTGTTCCATAGAAACACATGGTATCCAACAGCTATCAACAAACTCAATGGCACAACTATACTATCTGTATCAATCTTCATTCTCATTCTTGTTCGCATTACCAAAGGCATATGCCAATATATATAAAGATAGAAAAAAAAGTTAGTGGAGAAATGGGATTCATAGTCAGATATCAAACACGAAAAATTAGTGTAATCTTGGACGTATACGCAACAAATTCTTGGTCGGAGTATTAACAAAAGGTTTAAATTTATTCGTGGGGATATAAAGTAAGACATATCAACATCTGACTAATGCATGCACACTCACTTTACCTACCTTTTAACACTAAGCCCAATAGAGTTTTTTTTTGTATTCATGCATGTACAACATATTCATTTAAATGTTTAAACATGTACCAAGTGTGTTTACTTTTAGAGGAGCACATAACAGGAAAACCGCAAAAATCAACTCAAACTATTTGCTGGCAGCGTTTTTATACTCAAATTATGATATTCGGCAAAAATCAATCTAAACTCACTAAAATTTTAAATTTCCAAGTTAAACTATATGTAATCAGCCGAAATCAACGTATGCCAAAACGGTGTTAGTTAATCATTTAACGGCGATGAATTAGTCGACACCATATGACAATGACGGGGTATCGAAATCGTGAGTAACCATCAAACTCTGGGTTGATATCGGTTAATTAACTATCTAATTTTTTTTGTAACCTTTCTAATTAACTAACTTGTTTATATATCACATCTATTTAGGGAAGTTTAGAAAGAAAGAAAAAACATTTGTAAGATTTTTAAATGAATGAGATATCGAAATGATCAGAGCTGTGAATCGCCCAATAGAAATCGACCCACAAAGCTACTCAAGCAAGATCAAGTAGTCGTTTCTTCTTTAAAGCTCTCAAAAGCCATAATAGGTTGCATAATGATATCACTCTAGCCTAACACTTATTTGTTCAACACTCATCTAATAACCATTCTTTTTTCGTTATTTTTTTTTTTAGAGCGTCGAAAGAGTATCAAGAACAACCATCGTTCTGGTGGTTTAATTCTTGCTTTTTTTGTGTGTGTTGCATGCATGTCTCCCTATACAATAGGCAAATATATATATGCTTTTCGGACATATGTATAACCTTTTTATTTAGAAATTCATACTACAATATGAAACAATATAAACTACAAGAAAACAAGACAAACTTAAATGCATAATTAAATTAAATAGGAAATGTGTTTTATTACTTAGTCTCTTAATTAAGAGACAAAACTAACATATCTTGGAGTTTTCTTACATTTTTAATATTAAACTAATGCTAAGAGCCAATATTAAGTGACTACCAATAATGTTGCTCTTAGCGACATAATCGTAGCAAAGTCCTTAGTTACGACTTAACGACGACTGTTCTTTGTCACAAAAAAATAAAAAGAAAGTTAGAATATGAGTTTGATTTCTATAATTAATTTTAAAAATAGTCTTAAACTCATGTAAATTCTCAATATGAGTCTGATTTTTTCATGAAATGCATTATATATCCAATAAATCTTTCTAAAGCTAATAACTAAAGTAAGACAATGAATTAGAAGTAGTTGGCTATGATCACATATATAATATGTATTGGTAATTTTTGTTTTGCCATATATATCCTTTTGTTTTCCATTAGATCAAAACAATAAGAAAACTGATATCGTGAAATTGTAAAATTTACATTTCACCAACAAACGTTTACATTTTGATAGAAATAAAAGAGGAAGAAAATACCTAAATAATTAGGTGATAGGATGTATTCTAGGAGAATTTTCACCTCGACGACAATTGTGAAAATATAGAAAAATTCCTACAACAAAAATGACAAAGAAAACGAAAAGCATCATCATAGGAACCATCCATAGCTTAAACCATGAAGGATCTTTTGGGAAGATCAATGCAGCTTCTTCTTCTTCTTTAAGTTGGTATCGTGTCAATGATTTGATGAATATTACATTGCTGCTCAAAAATAACCACCAAATTTTTCTTCTCATCTCCTGAATTTTCTTATCTTAGGAGATGAGAAGAATGACAACACAGTGAAAAGTTGTTTATTCCCAAAACATTTGTTTATGATATCTTGTGTTTTGTTGATTTATTTTTAGTGTATTTGCTATATTTTCTCTAGATGTTTTGGAGCATTAGCTATTTTTAGTGGAAAAAAAAAATCAGATGATAAGTTAAAAAATATATTTATTTAGGTTTTCGATTTTTTTTTGTTTCTTTGGTTTCCAAATTTTCTTACTTTTTTCTGAAGATTTAAGATTTTTCACTTACCCAAAAAACAGTGGGCTAGTGGTAAGACCAGCACAATTTTCTTATAGTGGTAGAATCTTTGAACTCAACTAAGTTGGATAGCCTAACTCCAAATGGACTCTCCAACTTGAGGCTTACACGTCCCTCAATGGAGCACGATAAGCAACCTTATGGTATGGTATGCAGAAGCAACATGATAATCAATATGTTAGACACTTATAAATTTTTTTATAGTTTTTGTTTTTTTTAATTTCAACAGAAAAATTGATCAATTTATTATCATATTTTTGTTTTAAATTAGAACCACCTTTCATAACAATATTTGAATCTTATTTTCCTAATCAAAAAAAAAAAAAAAATCTGATCTTTTTACTAACATAATCATGTTAATTACTAACTTTGAAAAATCAAACCAGTTATAAATAAGATGTTTATTAAAGTTGTAGAGTTTACAGAGAAGTGTAAAATCATCTTAAAATATGTATTATAATGTTAGATCATGTATTATAATGTTAGATCGGATCCAATCGCTCCTTTATAAGCAACCAAGCAAATCTAAAGCATTTCTATGTTTCTATTTTCTTTTCAAAAAATGTCTTTTTCACAAGGTTCAAGTTCGGATGAGGTGTCAGTCTGTACCGCATGAACTGGTTCACAAGGAATCCAGTTTTGTGACAATCCATGCGTCAACGGTTGGAGAATCCTTGAGATGTGTCCAAAGGAATCGTAACCACTCTTTTGATCAATGGAGCAATCCTTGAGACAAATACTGATGTACTAAACAACAAATATTATTATAGTTTCATATTAAATTACAACCAACAATAGAATAAACCAATCTTTGATGTCACAAAGAGATACCAACCAAACCATTCATAGAAGAAGACACATAAAAATAGGAATACACTGTAATAGAAATGAAGAAGACTAAAACTAAACAGAAGCAGACAAGCTGGGAACAAAAGAGAACCAACGAAACCCACAGCTCCATTTCTCAGGCAACGAAGGACACTTAGGAACCCAATGCCAAGTCCTTCTCCCAACATGAAAAAACAAAATCTCAGGCCAATTATAACAACACACACAGATCATCTCCTTATGCCAGAGACAGTACACATGCTCGTAGTTATGGTAACAGACCGAAGTAAACTTCCTACAAACAATGTCCGGTAACGTCTCAGTTTCGACCCAAGTCTCAGTTTCTTGTTTAAACTCCCAAATCTTGATACTTCTACAAATCCCATTGCTCCCGATTCCTCCAACCATGTAAAGTATCTTCCTTTCTTGATCACAAACTAGCCTAGCAAACGTGATGTGATGATCCGCCGGAAAAACACCGTCTCCGGTGGTGGATGTTGTTGTCCATTTACCGTCGTGTAAATCGACGTTGACGATTATAAAAGGCTCGGATCTAGCGAAGTAGAGTGACCCATTGTAAAAGACTCCATCTTGATTAAACCCACGAGGCAAGATTTGATCAACGCCGCCGTATTTTCTCCATGTCCGGTCAATAGAGTCGTAGAGGCAAACGGATCTTGAGGAGGAGGAGGAGGAAGATGAGCAAAGGGTAAAGATTTTGTAGCTGTCAGGGGAGGTGACAAGAGAGAGAAGCTCAAAAGGGAAAGAGTGACAAGGGAACTTGATAGATCTTGAAGATCTGGTTAAAGGGTTAAAGATTGAGAGAGAAGAAACAGAGGAGAAACAGAGGAGGCCATGTGAAGAAGAGAGGAGAGAAGAGGAGCATGTTAGTGATAAGGTACGAGGGAGTGGTAACGTGCACCAAGAGATGAGATTTGGGTTGAAGAGAGGGAAAGAGTTGTGAGATTGAGGATGAGAGAGGAGGAGAAAAGAAGGGAGAGAGAAGGAATGGTCAGAGAGGAAAGATGGAGAGAGGATTAAAGAACGGAGATGGCGTGAGATTGATCTGAAGGAGATGAGAGTTTTGAAAGGGAGGAAAGAGATGATGTGTTCTAGGAGATGGTTTGGTATGTTAGACCAGATTGTTGGATCCATGTCTGATGGAGAAGATAGAGCTTTGGGGGATGATTCTGGTGACCAGTAGAGGAAATCTGAGGCGGTGGCGGTGGTGGTGGTGGTGGTGGTGATGGTAATGGGTTTCTTGCCGTGAGCTCTGAGGCGGAACATGGTGAGAGAGATTAAGCAGAGACGTTGAAGTTTCAAGAAGAGACAAGAGAAGAGAAGGGAAGATATGTAGACGAAGACTTCAAGAATCAAGACTATAGAGACTGTTCACATTTGAGATGTGGGACGATATAAACAACTGATGCTTTTTAAAGAAAATATTTTTTTTTTTATGTATAAAAGAAACAAAACTTATAAAAATCGAACTAATTTATTATTGTAAAAGTGATCAATATCATACTTTTATTAGTCAAACACCGGATTATTATTATTATTATTATTATTTTTTTTTTTGACAAATTTGTTCGTCAAACACCGGATTAAAATTAAATAAAACAGTAATAATATTCTTAATTAAACAAAAGTTAATTAATAAAAAATAATTTGAAACCAAGAATTATAACAAATTTTCAATTAAACCGATAATTAAATACAGATATTTTTGAGTTTTTTTTTCTTTTAATAATTAATTATTTTATAAGTAAATCAATTCAGGGAAAAGGAATTAGTTATATATTGATATATGTTTTTTTTATAAAAACTAAACAGAATAGAATTCCATATGGAACCAAAAAAAAAAGATATCTAATTAACTATTGAACCAAAGTTCAAATCAGGCCAAAATGGAAAATGACAATGCCTAGTCTTTGCATATTGAAAGGTTATAACCACTTAAAACATATGTTTAAATCATTTTAAAACGAATTGTTTATAATATATTCCTTCACCTCTTTTGGATTAATGTTTTGAGTTTTTTTTACATAAACTAAAAAAAACATTTAAATATTACCATTTTCTAATCATTTTAAAAATTTTAAACTGCAAATCACACCACATGCCCAAAACTTTTAGTGTTATATATATGAATACAATAATAAATTATGTTTATGTAAAACTAAACATAATTCAATGAAACAAGACAAAAGTCTGAGTTATGCATTAATTTTATAAAACCAAACTGAAAACTTCAATGACGGTGCAACAACAACATTCAATTCAACTATCTTGGAAAAGTACGTACAACTACCAAAACCCAAAGGACTCGACAAATACTTTTGACTTCTTGGCAAGTAGTATCATCGAATCAAGTTGGCATGTTATTATACAAATTACACATACATGCACGTTTCTTGATGATGATATTTATCAAAGTTAGAACATCGTTGGACGACCAACATCTAATTAAATTATTGATAAAATTAAACAGTTGATTATGAAGATTAATCTTAGGACCACTATTTGACTTTAGAATATTTAATATGATTCTATCTTTTGGAAAAAAGTTTCTATCATTTGTGATGTAATTGTCATTAATAAATAAGTATAGACCAGTAGATAAGATCCGCTCGTCTACTCTCTTTTCATGCATCGTGACTAGTTGGCATGAAAGATTGTAATTTTTGGTTTTATTGCTATTTGTTGGTATTGGATCTTGCACAGTTGCACTTTCGAGTTTGACCCGAAAATAAAGACTTAGCCCAGCTAACTTGGAGATTGAATGACAAAGGACCAAAGGTCCAAAACCTAGCTAGGTCCGTACGTGTAACGAGTAATAGATGCTCCGATGTGATCCTATTTTCCCATTGTTAAAGTGCGGATATTGAGAGATAGAAAACCGGAGAACATCTTTCTGTTTGGCCTTATAGAACATTGTCGGAAATTAAATTAAACTGGCGATAGAGGATCATAGATTAACCGAGAGATCAACGGTCTAGATGATTGTCAAAAATATTAAAAATGTCGAAGAATCTAGATTCTAGGATTTTAGATATTTGCTTTTATCTAAAAATATATTATTTATTATCTTTGTTTAAGAATTTAAGTTTATTCCTATCATCCACATTTTTATTTCGTTATGATTTTTTTTGAATTAATCTCCAATTATGTATTTATAAACTTGTCTTTAGGGGGTGTTTTCATATTATCTTTAGGTTGTGACTTGTGAGACCATGGTTATTTTAATACTTTCATATTCTTCATTGTTCAATAGCTTTCAAAAATCTATAAAACAAAAGTCTACACCTTCTTCTTGATATGCATATAAGAAGCAGATTCCAAACTAGTTCAATTCACCTAGTGTTTCTAGAAGAAAGTTACATAAACATAATAATATTTTAAGTTAATCTTTCTTTAAAAGGTGTGTGTAAAGTAAATAAGAAGCACACCATTACAGATTCTTATTTCTATGTAAAGTTCAATTAGTTCTTTCCATTTGACCGGTTCTAGAACTTACAGTTATCTATGTTCTTTGATCAATTTTTGTGGACTTTGGACTAATGAGGAAATTGATTTTCAAGTTGATCAATTTTGTGAACTTAATTTGGGTCCAGGTTATTACAATGTGATTGACATAAACACAAGAGTACACAATTATCATCGTCTAGTCCAATCAACAACAACTTGTAATGACAAGTGCTTTAGATTCCGATACCGTTTTGTAATGACAAGTGTAGACATTTGAAAATTTCATGACTGTTTCAATCCAGAATTTTGAATTTTTTTTGCATGCTAAGATGGAGCAAGGTTTTTTGTCATTTTCATCGTCCGCGGGTTTATGTTTTCCTCTTTTCGGTTTTGTATTTCATCTTTGGTTTCACAACAAGAATTAATAAAATTTCAGACGACGAAATAAAAGATGGAGCAAGATTTTTAACTTAGTTCCAAACTGCTTATTTTTTGTTCAGTTTTTTTATTTTATTTATTAAATTCTAATATTTTTGAGGTGTTTTTTACTATGCCTATTATCTATGTAATGTATATTGTATACTATGAGGTTTTTTTTTTGCAATCATTTTGTTTTCAATTTTGGACTGTAAGTTTGCAATTATCTATTTGACCCCAAAAAAAATCTGGATTTCTTTGGGAGCGAATACGGTGTAGATACAGAAGTGAGATGACGAGGTTGCTATCGAGGACGTTCCCGTCCGTGAAGCTCCGCGATACCAACCCTAAAGCTTCCGATTTCAAAATATTGAAAAACCCAAAAACCCAAGTTCCGATTTCATCATCCTCTTCGCAAGAATCGCAAGAGAATTTGAAGATCCCAAATCCCAAATCCTGGTCTGTTTATCTCATTCTCTCCACAAACGAACCCATCAAAACATATGTTGGAATCACCACAGATTTTGCTCGCCGGTTCGTCATCTTTCTCGTCTTGTCTCCCTTTACACTCTGATAAATTTGAGATGATTTGATTTTGGTAGATCACCATTTATGTTCTGCTTCGAAAGGCTTGAGCTTTTGGTTCATAAATGTCTAGGGATTGATAAAGCAAAGTGCTTGTTGATTACCCATTAACGTTTTGCATCGAAAGGCTTCAGCTTTCGGTTCATAAAGCAAAGTGCTTGCTGATTATTATATAGGTTCTGCTTAGAAAGGCTTGAGCTTTTGACTCGTAGATGTCAAGGAATTCGAAAAGCATAGTGCTTGTTAATTACACATTTAGGTTTTGCATCGACGGGCTTCAGCTTCCGGTTCATAGAATTGATTCTTGGTAGAATACTATTTTTTGGTGTCTGCGTTGAAAAGGCTCGAGATTTTGATTCATAGATTTGGAGGAATCTAAAAAGCAAAGGTGCTTGTAGGTTATTACTTAGGTTCTGCTTCGAAAGGCTTTAGCTTTTGATTCACACATTTCAAGGAATCTGAAACGCAAAGTGCTTGTTGATTATGATTTAGGTTCTGTTTAGAAAGGCTTGAGCTTTTGATTCATAGAATCCAAGAAAACTAATGAAAAGTGCTTGTTGATTACTATCAAGGTTCAGGTTCTGCTTCTAAAGGCGCAATTCGATTCATAGATTTCAAGGAATCTATAAAGCAAAGTTCTTGTTGATTACCCATTTAGGTTCTGCTTAGAAAAAACATGAACTTTGGATTCATAGGTTTCAAAGAAATATGAAAGCCAAGTGCTTTTTAATCGTTGTAGATTAAAGCAGCACAATGGTGAAATTAGAGGTGGTGCAAAAGCTTCAAGTTCAGGAAGACCATGGCTTTGTGCTTGTATCATCACTGGATTCACTTGTTTAAGCCAAGGTACCATATTCATTCATCTTTATGAGTTGAACATTGCCCTGTGAATGCATTTATGTATACTTATGGATGATGAGAGTTTTCCTTGTTTGATTCTTCAGCTGCCTCGTTTGAATCGAAATGGAAGCTCTTCTCAAGAAAGTTACCGCGGAGAAAGAAAGATGAGGAGATGAGTCAGAGTGATGCTTTGCTTCAACACCGTAGGAGAGCATTGGATAAAGTCGAGGAATCACTTGACTGCAGTCATCTTGAAACTAACTGGAAAATCTAACCAGGTATCCAACCAACTACTAACTGAATTTATCAGTGGAATCACCGAAGTTCTTTGCAGCGCATGAGTTCCCTTATGTAATGAATATTTATGTCGAGACATGATGACGATAGGGAAAAGAGTGTAACTAGCATTTAGGTTTTACTTGTTTGAAAACTACATTGCACAACCCCATGAACATTGATTTCTTACAGCTGTTGTAACTTTTAAGGATGATACACCAAATACAAAGCAATTGTAATCAAGATTGGTTGATTCAGTTTTTAGTTTTCTTCAGTTGATATAGAAACACAAGTATAGACAAACATCTTTAAGAGATAAGATTGAGAACTGTATATTGGTGGTTAGAACTTTTGGTAATGAAAGTAGCCAGTGTTCGACACCGAACATAATTAGTGTTTCAGATTCAAAGCAGCTATATTGGCCTTTCCACTTTCCACTTTCGACTTCCACTTTGTTGTAGTTTGTAATTTCACTGGATGAATATATCAAGTATCATCCTTGTAGTCTGCACCACTTTTACATCTCTAAAGGCTTGGTTATGTTTCGGCTTTGGCTTTCGTGACAAAGGTGGGCGTCGTATGATCAAAATATTGGGTAACCGTAGAATACAATGGTTTATTCACTTACTTTAATCAAGTTGTTTTTGTTTGTCTTTTGAAGTATCATTTGTGAGTTTTGGGACTTGAGGTCTGATCAAACCATCTTATAAGTGTACAAAGTATGGTTAATGGTCTCTTCATAGGTTTCACATCCACCACCTATGCGGCCGCAACATACCTATAAAGTATAAAACTAAACTATTCACTTTCTGCCACAATGCCCAAAAGAATTTGCCACATACAGTAAACTATTTTCGTTGAAGTTTTGATCTTCCATTATTGGTAAACCAAAGCAATACCTTTGATACAAAATCACAACAAAATGTATTACTAGTATTTATGCAACATAATTTTAAAGTCTCGTTAATAAGCTAGTTCATGTAAAATATAATAAGAAAAAAATGAAATGGTGCAACCCACGTCCATCTTAGGCCGGTGGTTTTGTTTATTACACCTTCCAAAACATGAACTCCATTATAACCCAAATCAAAAACTTCCTTTAATAATTCATAATCAACAATCACTTTTTTGTCCACACAAAACACAAAGAAGATGGTGTTGGGTCTTAGAACAAAGAGTCGTAAAGACAATGGAGTGTTCGTTGAGTATCTAATCTCAATCAAGGAGCTAAAACCATGGCCAACAAGCCAAGTCCCTGCACAATGCGTCCTTCTCAAATGGGAAAACGGCGAAAACAATTCAGGCTCTTTCATTGCGGTCGTGGGCAAAGACACGATCATGTTCAACGAGTCCTTTAGGCTAACATTAACGTTAGAGCCCAAAGTTGGATCGGACAATAAGTTCCACAAGAATCTTCTTGATCTTCATGTCTACGACGCCAAAAAGAAAGACAAGGGCGTCAAGAACAAGCTTCTTGGCACTGCCTCGGTCAACCTCGCTGATTTCGGCGTGTTGGCCAACTCGGTTCCCGTTGGAGCTCCGTTTACTTTCAAGAAAAGCTCGAGGAATGATGCTAGCTCTGAAATCTACCTAACTGTTGAGCCGGCCGGAGAAGAGGATTATGATGAAGGGAACAGGAGTAGCTGTTCTTCGCAACCGAAGATGAGCGTTTCAAGAAGATCTGGTGAAGGTAGTGAGTTTAGTTTGGCTTCCTTAACGGACGATGATGATGATGCTTCGTCAGTGTCTTCTTCAACACGGAGAGTTTCATTCTCAGCTATGCTTGATGCTAGTTCCACGGTAAGCATTTTTATATTGACGTTACACATTTCATTTTATTTGGCTTGTGGTTTAAACAAATAGTATCATACAATAAGAACAATACAAAATTGAGTTTCATTGGTGTTTTCTTAAGAAGTAAAGACTTACATGTTTTGACTTGTTGAATCAAAAGCAGAACACAGAGGCTGTAATGAACGGAGATGAAAAGAAAGGTTGGAAACATGTAACGCTTAAGCATAGCAACAATGAAGCAGCACTTGTCTCTGAGATTGAGAATCTACTGAGAGAAGAAGAGAGAAAGAGACAGAGCAATCAAGTGGTTGTTGTGAGTTCAGAGATTGATCAGCAACAAAAGGATGATACAATTGCCTTTAAGCTCAAGAAACAGTTCTCTGAGATCAGATCTGGTCCTTTATCGTTACCTCCCGATGCAGCGAGAAAACAGATGAAGCTTCGGACAAACACTCTTGCTTTAGGAAGAAAGACTCTTGGAATGGAAGGTATTCCAAGACTTAAACAGCTTAAGTCTATTCAGTTGCATTTTGACGGAACCAAAGATGATAGTAACAAAAAGGCGAGTGGAGTGAGCAACAAGGTAGGTTTAACTTCGCAGGAGACTAGAACAGAGACGCTTGAAGATGAGCTGAAGGAAGCAGCAGCTCTTGAAGCAGCTGTTTACTCTGTGGCTGCTGAGCACAGTAGCTCCATGAGCAAGGTTCATGCTCCTGCTCGTCGCCTCGCTAGATTTTATCTTAATGCTTGTAAAGGAAATGGCTCAGATCATTCTAAGAGAGCCAGTGCGGCTAGAGCCGCGGTTTCTGGATTGATTTTGGTTTCTAAAGCATGTGGAAATGATGTTCCAAGGTATTATAACCATATCAACAACATATATAGTTAAGGTGGGCTTTTGGTTTTGTTCAGTACGGTTCTTTTAATGTTGTTCGTTTCTATAAATGTATCGACAGGTTAACGTTTTGGCTATCAAACTCGATCGTGCTTAGAGCAATTTTAAGCCGCGGTATGGAGAAAATGAAGATTGTCCCTGAAAAAACCAGTTCAGATGAATGGGAAGATCCTCGAGCATTTCTTGCGGCGTTGGAGAAGTTCGAGTCTTGGATATTTTCCAGAGTTGTTAAGTCAGTTTGGTGGCAGGTAGTTAAAAGAATTTTTTTTCCAAATGGGTTAGCAAAAGAGTTTTCATCTAACATTAAATGTGAAATGAATCCCATTGCAGAGTATGCCACCGCATATGCAATCTGCTGCGGTTAAAGGATCAATCTCGAGGAAAGTTTCAGGAAAACGACGGTTAGGTCATAGGAACCAGGGGCTTTATGCTATAGAGCTATGGAAGAATGCCTTTAGAGCTGCCTGTGAAAGACTTTGCCCACTAAGAGGTTCAAGACAAGAGTGTGGTTGTCTACCTATGCTTGCTAAACTGGTAACAGATAGTTAGCTTTAAGTTCCTAAAAGACACTTAGCTCAGCCATAATAATCCGAACTCAATATTCTTCTTTATTCAGGTGATGGAACAGTTAATAAGTAGACTTGATGTAGCAATGTTCAACGCGATACTCCGTGAGTCAGCGGCTGAAATGCCGACAGATCCTGTCTCTGATCCAATCAGTGACATAAATGTTCTTCCAATTCCAGCAGGAAAAGCAAGTTTTGGAGCAGGCGCACAGCTAAAAAACGCGGTACTAAAGCTCGCATTAACTAGAGTGTTCTCAACCAACAAAAACAATCCTTTTGGTATGTAATAATAGTATTGGCTTTTTGCAGATTGGAACTTGGTCCAGATGGCTTGAGGATCAATTTGAACAAAAGGATGACAAATCTGGTAGAAACAAAGATGATGATAGCAATAATAAGGAGAAGCCAGAAAGTGAAAATTTCAGACTGTTCCATTTACTCAACTCATTAGGTGATTTAATGATGCTTCCATTCAAAATGCTTGCAGACAAATCCACAAGAAAAGAGGTAATTTGGACTAACATTAACTCGTTCTTCTTGTTCCAAAAGCATTTTTCTTTACTTCCTCTTGTTCCTGTTTGAAGGTTTGTCCAACTCTTGGTCCACCAATTATAAAGAGAGTTCTTCGAAACTTTGTCCCGGATGAATTTAACCCGCACAGAATCCCGAGAAGGTTATTCGATGTTCTGAATTCCGAGGTTAGTAAACCGTCTTCACAAATTGGCCACATCAATCAATGTTTGTGTTCTTGACCCTTTTGTCTTCAACTCAGGTCTCAACAGAGGAGGAAGAAAATGGATGCATCACAATCTTTCCGTGCGCTGCATCGCCCACAGTCTACTTAATGCCGTTTGTAGATTCCATAAAACGCTTCATTGGAGAGTTAAACAATCCGTCATTATCAGAAACTGGATCATCCGTATTCAAGAAACAGTACACAAGTGACGATGAGCTCGATGACTTAGATACATCCATTAACTCTATATTATCTGCTCCTGGAACAACCAATTCGTCAGAGTGGATGCCGAAAGGATATGGACGAAGAAAGACTGTAAGATATCATCTCCTTAGAGAAATATGGAAGGAAGACGGATTACAATGACTCTTCTCCTTTTTTTGTCTTCTATGTTTGATTAAAACACTTTCTACGTTTCTTGGTTATATGTATGAAGGATACTTATGGCCACAGAGAAACAAATGGGGTTTATAAGATTAAAATTAAAACATGCATTATATTTACAAGAATCACTGTCTCACTAATAAAAAGCAAAGCTGATGTATAGCTAAAATGAAAAGATTAGACAAAGTAGATGTCCAAGAAAGAAACTAATAACAAACAGAGCTATGAGAATATTCTCTAACAATCATGAAATGGTCTTCACATATCTATCAGATTTCACACTTGTCTTCATACTAAACACAGCAAAGATATATCTATACAGCATCAGACCAGAAGATGGATTCCCCTGGGAGTTAAGAAGCTCAGTGCATCTTTGTATACTCTTGTTTCTCTTCTTCTAAATGATCTATAGAAGTTGGTCAGTGCTTTTTATACGCATAAAGTTTGAGAAGGAGCAAAAATGAACACTAGAGGAACTATCAACAAATGCGACCATGGAAATATAACATTGTTCTGTTAAAGTTCCTAGCTTCACCCATCAGACTGGTTCACTTTTATTCTGCTAAGCTTAGTTTAGCCGAATAAAAAACATACATTTTCGGCAAAGCCTTCGTTTTCCTCGGTTGTGAGCTTATTGGCTCATATTCAAGAACATATAAACATAACACTGACGATAGAGATGAAATCCAAGGAAAGAAAACTCTATTGCAGAACACTAAACTTGCCTGTTTCATTAGAGCAGAAACACTCAAGTAGCATTCATAAAACAATACACACTAAAGTTAGAGCAATACAGAGATTTTAACCCTTACAAGACAAGTATCAGTTTTTTTGTTGTAAGTACCAATTCCTATAAGAGTTCATCTAAGAAATCCAAAGCAGTCACATTCTCACTACAATTCAGCAACCATGGATAATGACGATCTTGAAAAGTATAAATATTCTGTCAAAGTTTTTAGCTTTGTCCATCAGACTTGTTCACTTCTATTCTGGTAAGCTTATCAAAAACTACAAACAAACACAAGACTAATTGATAGAGATGCAATCCAAAAGACCACTCTATTGCAGAACACTGAACATGGCTGTTTCAGATAGTACCATTCATAAACCAATACACACCAAAGTTAAAGCGATGCAGAGATTTCTACTCTTTCTCTCTACAGAACACTATCTCACAAGACAAGTATCAGTTAATTACTATAAGAGTTCATCTAAATTCCAAAAGAGTTCACATTTCCTCACTACAATTCAGCAAAAGAGTAAAAAATTCAAATTGGAAGAAACAAAATCTTACAAAAAGGATAAATTTTTATACTTTCTAGGCAGAATCATCAGCCTTCGCCTTCCCTTTACTGAAAAAATCATCAATACGACGAGTTCCGACAGGCGGAGTCGGCGGAGCTTTCTTGTCGGAAGAAGCAGTTTTGTTATGTCTTATAGGCTGAGACGGTAAGGGAAGCGAGTCGAGTAAGAAATCGCTAGTGGGTTGGTGTCTTTTCACGGCGGTTCTTAAATGATCGAGACTAACAATCCTCCGCTTCTTCTCCGCCGTCACGACGGCTGATTTCTCGGCGAGGAAGTGGAGGAAAAGCTCGGCTGAGTAGGTGATTAGGTGAAGAGCTTCTGAGTTTATTTTGTTGATGTCTTTGTCGAGTTTCATAATCTTTTTCACTCTTCCGATTGGAAACTCCGGTCGAATTGGAGATTGAGAACCTTCTTCTTCCGCCATTGATTTGGTTTTGTTGTGAGAGAGAGATCTCGGGAAAGTGTATTTTTACTGCAAATTCGAACATTTTTAGGGTTTTTTATTTTATTTTTACTTTTTTAAGTTTTACGCGCTCTGCCACCGCGGGAAAGTGAAAATGAGCTAACCCGGAACTTCGGTTAGTCGTACCATTCGGTTTGGTTAATTTTGATTTTGAAATTACTGCCAAAGAGTTAATCGAAATAAAATTTTGGTTCTCTGTTAATTCCATTTTTGAGATTTACAATCTAGCTAATCGATTTTTTTGCTTACATAAAGAAAAAAATCGCGGGTTTTTCGGATAATTTTGATTTTAGTGTACTATTTGGATAATTCGATTCAGTTTCTGACAAAAAATGGTTTAAATATGATTAACCTGTCTAATTGTGGTATAATCCGGTTGTACAAAGTAACAAATATTTTGGTTAATCATGAACCTAACCAAATTTCTCGATTAACTAAAGTAAATTTCACATTTTGTCGATTGTTTAAAGACCTATAACTGAAACCAAATAGCCAAAATCACGGTTCGATTATTATCCCAGTCTTAATACCCGTATCATAACATCGTAACCGTATATAACTATGACCGTTTAAACCAGAACCATATTCAACCGTAACCGTTTAATCGTTTTTATTAAACGAATATGGTTAAGATTAAACAAATTTTCTAACTGTAACCGGTGGTTAATCTGTTAATCAACCGTAACTTGGTCGTGCCTAATCTCATCCATAAAGTTAGAATTTTTTAAACCGATTTTTCTGGTTTACTTAACTCATAGTAATGAGGGTAGTAACATAGTAATGGTGTTTATTTTTCAGTTTTATAGTAATTTAGTATTTGAAATGTTTATCATCATTTGGTATTCGTCAGAGGTCGATGGAAAGTTTATGCGGCATTCTTTCTTTTTACTAAGTATGTGATTAGAGAGATAAAGTTTCCGGTATCTGGGTTTGATACATTCTATGATCTGGCTTGTTTCCCGTTTTTTCCTACGTCCGAATCCGTGTATTCCGGCCAATGATTTTGAAATCGGTATCGTTGTTGCAGATGTGTCGCTCTTGTAAACGATGGTTCTAGAAAATGTTTTCCCTGTTCCGTTTAATCATCCAGTTCCAAACTCGTGTATCCCACGTTTTTCGGATTTTTTTAACCGGTTTGATTGTTATGTGTTGGACCTCAGGTCCATACTTTTTTAGATTTTGTATTTTGATTGTTGTGGAAGTGTTGGACCTCAAGCCCATATTCTTTTGGATTTAGTAAAAAGAAAAGTGATGATATGGTGGATAATGTGGGAGAGAGGAAATGTAACTTTATATATATACTAGTCGGTTGCCCGCGCTACGCGCGGGAGTTTATTACATTGTTTATGAGTAGTTGGTTCGTATTTTATTTTCTACTTAAATTTTTCACTATACCATATTTTTTTTTAAACTTAGATTATGTTTGTATAGAAAACCTATTGAGTTTTAGCTTCATTAGTTGTTGAGAAATTAAGTGTGTATATTATAAGACGAAGTGTGAGTATAAACGGAAGTGCGGTGGAGAATCATTGAGAAACTCTAAACATGTGCTATTAGGATTTTTACCATATATAGATATAGATGTTAATATTGTAGGCCTTTTTAATATGTTGGCCGAAATTTGAAAATGAGTTGTGGGTTTTGGGTGGATTGTTGTATTTTTTATTGTTTACATTATCTCTTTATATATTGTTATAAGTTTTTTTTGTTTTACATTTTTTTTTGGATTTGACGTAATTTATATCTCGTTATGATCATTTTTATACTATTATATATTTGTTTCTGATTTTATGTTTTATATTTTTTTTGTTTTTTCATGTGGAACAATTTTTAAATTTAACATATTAGTATAATTTACTTTATATTTGGTTTATTTCATTTAATATTGTTTATTTATTTTTATTTTTAATTTTTATTAAATATAGTTAACTTTTTATTTTGTTTATTAGTTTAACATATGTGTTGTATTGGAAAATGTTAGTTAAATTCATATTGGAAACCTTTAAATAATGTTTTGGTTTTTTCTACCTTTTTATACGTTATTTTTAAATGATAATTCATGTTTCGTTCCTACCTATCTCATTTATGTTGGAAAAGTTTGTGAGACATAAATTAGATAGATTTATATACTCAAAATTTCTTACTTTTTGTTCTATTCCCGTTAAATCTCATTATAATTTAGGTATAAATTGTGTAAATATAATCGAATTTTGTGTCATATTATTTTTAATTGATATATATATATATATATATATATATTTTAAACACTTAAAAACTATAATCTATTATTTATATATTTGTTAGTATAATCGATAATTAGTAAGTTTTTTTTAACTTTTTAATCAATTATATTTTTTAGTTTTATAATGTATAATATTTTCATATTCCTTTTTGGAAAAGAGAATTTTATATTCTATGCCACTTTTAAAATTCAAAAAATTAAAACTGCCATTTTATCTCAAGTATTTTATGGAGTGCCATAATAGGTATTCAAAAAGACAGAATTGCCCTTATCTATTCACTAGAGATTTCTCTTTTAGTTTAAAAAAATGAAAGGGATGGGACATGTTATCTGACAGCAAAAAATAGTATTTAATGGGGTTGATGTATATTAATATCTAGAGGATAATTGATTTAATGAGTGATCTAGGTTTGAGTTTTAGTGGAGGACAAATAAAAAACAGATCTGGATGAGTATTAATGGAGGACAACTAACAGCGATTTTGTGGAAGTGGTGGGTGCTGAAAAAATGAGAAAAACACATTTTCGGTTGTCCATTGCTATGTTGTCCTCTGCTATGTTGTGTCGTCATACGGTTGTCCATCATTGGTATCATCTGCTATGTTGTCTATAGAGATCCTAAAGATCAAAGTTTGTCCATCAATAAATAGTAAATGGAAAGGACGAATAGTAGAACATCTCACAAAAATATAAATGGTCAATCTCATAGTTTACCTGTGCTGAGGAGGATTGTCTATTGGACTAACTGATGGATAGCTTTGATCTGTAGATCTGATCAACAATCTGTAGAATAAATATCAAAGGACGACGTACGATGGACAAAAAAAATTCATGGACAAAATTTGGTATAAATTTGGTCTATAAAAACATACACTAGACGAATGGTAAAACATCTCACAAAAATATAATGGTCCATCTCATAGTTACATGTGCTGAGGAGGTTTGTGTATTGGACTAACTGATAGACAACTTTATTCTGTAGATCCGATGAACAATCTCTAGAATAAATGTCAGAGGACGACTTAGGATGGACAAAAAAACTCATGGACACAATTTGGTATAGATCTGGTCTATAAAAACAGAAACTGTACGAATGGTAGAACATCTCACAAAAAAGTTAAATCGTCCATCTCATAGTTTACTTGGTCTGACGAGGATTGTCTATTGAACTAACTAATGGACATCTTTGTTCTGTTGATCCGATGAACAATCTATAGAATAAATATCAACAAACGACTTATGATGGACAAAAAAAAACTCATGGACATAATTTGGTATAGATCTGGTCTATAAAAACATACATTCACGGGGTCCGATGGACAACTCCACCTGCGTTATTTGCGTTATTTGAGGAACTCGGCCGGAAACAGAGAAATTATGGCTTGTGGTGATTCAAGACTGTCGCCTCCATGTTCACTAATGTCGATTGGAAACGCTGCAGGATGTGGTCAAGCATCCATGAGATCTGAAGTAGAAGGGGGTAGGATTAATTTGTGTGCAAATAACATATATTTGGAAAAAGATGAACTTGAACTGAGGCTTGGAAGAAGATGAATTGTACAAAAAAAAATTAAAATAATTCTTTTTATGTTTAATTGTATAAAGGTAAAAACTTTTTGACAGACATCAACAGTATCTCATCAGCTTTAGCAAGTTTCAGATGCTGAGGGTAAAGCTGTCATTTGATATTGCTCTTATGGCAAGCGGGAAAACAAAACAGGAGATATGGCACTGGGAACAAGTTTTAACACTGTTCATGTCATTGACAACAATTTTCTCTTTGGAAAACTTATTTACATAGATCTAAATCTTAAAATTATATGATAAATAATATAATTAATTTTAAAATTAAATAATAAAATGAGGTGGATGATGATTAGGATGATGATGTGGCTTAAGGAGAAGAGAGAAAAAGCTAACTTTATATATATAGATAGATAGATACCTAACTCAATTTGCCCTCAAATAAAAAAAAATTAGGGTAGAGACAGTTCGAAGTATGGTTAATAATTTGAGATTTATACTCCTATATGTGGCTGTATGAAGCCTTTTCTTAGCTCAATCTACTGCAATTCGTAGCTGTTTAATACCTCAGTCTCATGTGTTTATAGATGACAAACACAAATACCAAATCACGTTTCCCCAATCACGTTTGCAGCTTTTTAAGAAACAGAACCAAAGGTCCAATTCTATAATCAGAACCACAAACAGACCAGACAAGAACCATCATCACATGATCCACACACCACTCTCTTACAACTTTTTTGAAGTTCTTGTATGATGTATCCTACTACCATTTGCAAACAATTTGTGCCCATCACAAGATTCACACATCACCCACTTACAACTTTTTTGAAGTTCTTGGATGATGTCTCCTCCTCCTACCCAATTGCAAACAAATTGTGCCCATGATTGTTGAAATGTCTCATAACAACAGATTTGAGTACTAGAGATGAACCAAAAGACATCAAACAAAGTCCATGTTACTGAATCATCATCATCCCATTAAACTATTACACAAAAAAGGAGCTACCTTTATGTATCTTTACTTTAAGCCACCATTGATGACAATTTTGACTATGAACAGTAACAACAACCCAACATAACAACACAACAACACAACAACAATGTCGTCTGCAGCTTTTTTAAGAAACAGAACCAAAGTCCAACTTTATAACAGACCAGACAAGAACCATCACATGATTCACACACCAACTTGATTTGAAGTTCTTGTATGAAGTATCTTCTCACCATTTGCAACAAATTGTGTCCATGATTGTTTTGAGTAGTAAGAGATGAACCAAAACACATCAAACAAAGTCCATTTTTACTGAATCATCATCATCCCATAACAATACCCTAAACTATTACAGAAAAAAAGGAGCTACCTTTATGAATCTTTAGATTCTTCTAAAGATTTACTTTAAAAGCCACCATTGATGACAATATTGACTATGAACAGTATCAAACAAACCCAACACACAAAACACAAAAAAGAAAGAAGCAATCATAATTAAAAAAAAAGAAGCTATGAATCTGTTCTCATCTATGTGTATATATATAATCAACTTACAAGACAGAGAAGAGTTCAAGACTCAAGAGATAAGAATCGTTTACAAAAGTATACATTTTTTTGGGGTTGAAGAAGAATCAATAAGGACGGTTCGGTGGCTGAACCGTAATCTGAGCTGGTAAAGGTCGACCTGTACCAGAACCACCACAATTGCTACAAGCAGCACGACCAGAACCAGAACACCTACGACATCCAACGTCACCATCAGACCATCGAGAACAGAAACAAGTAACTCTTCCTGTACCGTTACAAGTCGGACAACGAGGGAACTGACCACCAGCCATAGGCTTTTGGTCCATGACCGATTTGATAAAAACCGCACCGGCTAAAACGCTGATTCCTGTGGCTAATTGGGTTATCACGATCGGACTCATTGTTGGGTTTTCGAGAGAGATAGAGAGAAAAGGTTTTGGTTGCCAATTTTGGGGATAACGCAAAGAACCGTGAAGAAATTGGAGAAGAAGAAGAGAGGAACGTCAAAGTAAAGATTTTTATTTTTTTTGTTTGTGTGTTCAGACAAAAGTGTGGTCTTTAATTTTGATACGGTTCGGTTTATTGTGAAAGTAAAATACAAATTTTGAGGATAAGGGAATGGTTGAGAAAGGACACACGTGGGCTAGTGAGGGTTAAGTTGTTGTGTGAGGAGATGAATGAGCCAGCCGCGTGGGATAATAGTCCAGTTTTTTTGGATTTGGGTTTCTCATTGGGCCGACGAGGTTAAAATATCTTCTACAACTTTCAATTTTTTTTTTTTTAGATTATCACTGATTTATCTGGTTGCTTGCTTATTTTTCAAAAATTGAGTATACATTACAACTACAACTACAATATCGGATCCGCGCTACAACACGGAAAGATAATTTACATTTACATTTACATACAATTTTTAACAGATTATAATATATTATCATTTTATTTTATTATAGTGCAGTCAATTACATTGAATCAAGTTTTGTGTAATAAGTTTGAATAAAATAGTAACCGGCGAGTAAATTGTTACATAATGAGTTTTAATACAATAGAAGAAAAGACAAACAGAAATTTTTTTAACGAAATAACTCGTGAGTTACATGTGATTTACATAGTTTGTACATAATATAGTTTATTGGTAAAACTTATTTGTATATAAATTTGATTTAATCAATATTTGAATAGTATATTTTGTTTTATTGGTAAAACTTATTTGTATATAAATTTGATTTAATCAATATTTGAATAGTATATTTTGTTAATAAGACTACGTATGTACCATAGTCAAAATTTGATTTAGTTATGTTTTTTTAAGATCCGTAAAAATGAACAGTTTTTCATAAAATTTGAAATCATATTTATCTAATATTTGGTAACCAATATTTCTAAACCGTAATACCATTAAAATTAAACCGTAACCAAACCAAAATATAAATGGTTTCTATAAAATTTCAATTTCTGTAAAACCAAAAAAAAAAAAATCGTATTCCAGTCCTATTTCAAATGATTACTAGGGATGGACCCGCACGTACGTGCGGGATTGGTTGCAAAAACTATGTTTATCATAAAGTTTCTAATATTTTAATCGACATGATATAAGACTCGGATCGAGTGTGAACTGAATGAGTGATAAATTAGAAATCAATTAAATTTGTGAACTATCACATCACATAAACTAATGAAAAACATTAAAACTTTTGAATAAAATAACATAAATATAGATATCAGGACAGTCAAAGCGTTCACTATGCATGTCCTACAACAAATTGAAATATTTTGCTCCACCCACATGAATAAATAGTATGTCTTCAGCTTGCCCGTTACCCATAATTCCCTTTTGTATATTATTAGAATTAGTTAAGATAATAATTTTTTATTTTCTAAATTACCCGTTCCCTTTCCGTTATTTCTTGTCCCAATATTTGAAATTTTTAAGTGAAACTTACTTTTGTTATTAAAATTTCATATTCTTGTATCATACCCGTCATTTGATATTTGAAAGTTAAAATTAAATTTAAGTTTCCAATTTTTTTATATAGGCTTATTTTTGATGAGAAATAGTTTATATATTTTTTTTTTTAAATTACCCATTCCCTTTTTGTTCCCGTTCTTTCTCTTTAAGATAATATCATATTTTTTATATATAAATGAAATAATTTACATTTTTTTAAAAAAGCAACATTATATAGCTTGTATTTAACTAATTAAATTACTCGTTCTCTTTCTATATTCGTTATTTCTTGTCCCGATATTTGAAATATTTAAGTAATTTGAAACTTA